GGCAACTTTACGACGGTATGTGGAGCAAGATAATCATTCATTCCATAATTATTTATCTATCTCCTACTCTCTATAGGTTGGCAACGAGTCACAGAGCTTCGCTTTGGACATTTTCTACCCAAAGAGAAACCTGACGACCTCTGGGCAGTACTACATCACGGACAATCACTTCAACTCGGATCTGTCGTTGCAGTGGGGCGGCGGAGATCTCTACCAGCAGCCAAAGACGATTCGCAGCAATCTGCATTGGACGGCAGAGCCCCTGCAACGCGGCGATCGTGATCACAGAACATTCGGTTTATCCGTGGCACATCCCTACCTCGAGAAGGACATCAACTGTCGGGCCTCCTACTACCGCGGAGCGCAGGATCTGCTGCGTACGCACCTGACCATCGATTACTCGGAGCAGCCCGAACAGCTGATAGTACTCGGAGCCCAACTGCGTGATTTGTACAGCCAGTTGGGGCACACAAATTACACCTTCAAGATTTACGGACAGCATCAGGCCTCGGAGTTGGATGTGCAACTGAATGGCACTCTGGCGGCACGCAATTCCTACTACAAAACAGAATCGACATCGCACTACAAGCGTGACATCTTCCCCGCGCGATACGGCAAATTCCTGGCCCTGCTGGATCTCAATAAGCGGGAGCTGGAGTACGAGCGCCAGTCGCCGTTCCATGCCGTGCGGTTGCATTTGCTGCCAACGTGGCAGTATCCTGTCTACGGACTGAATGCCACCATCTGGGACACGCCGGACACGAACCACACAGGCTATGTGTATGTGGATCTGGCGGAGAGGTTTGCCCGCATGGACTTTAACCTCACGGAGGATGCCAGCCAGAATCTGCAGATGGTCGGCTACATTCCGGACACGCGCAGTGGCTACCTGGACATTTGGCGGAACTACGACGAGATACGAGTGATCGATGTCAGCTCCTATCTGAAGATGAACCACTCGCGCCTCATCACCGGCCGCTTCCACTGGCGCCCGTCCATTCGCGGCGAGCTGCGGGAGAAGATCCATGGTGTGGGCAACTCTGTCTACAGCTCCTTCTCGGAGGGCATTGACTTCTGGATCAAGTCCATCTACACGGAGACGGTGGAGTCGGTGGGCGTGGTGTGGGCCACGGCACGGGAGTACAACAAGGAGTTCATCGAGGACATTGGCCAGCTGAGCGTCCTGGAGGAAGACCTGAACGACCTGCGGCTCTTTGTGAACAAATCCTACGAGGCCAACGACTTTTACATCAAGCACGTGGTGAACTTTACGCTGACGATACTCGACGAGCTGGCCATCAGGGATCACATCGAGTCGCTGCCAAAGATCTTCACGGAGCTGTGGCAGGCGATGGGCGACTCTGGCAAGGCGCTGCGCAACAGCATCGTCTGGCTGATTGAAACAATCAAAACGACTTACAACAATCTGCTGGAGGCTGTGAGCAGATTCTTCCACGGCGAGAGCCTCAGCTACGTGTCCACGCTGATGGAGAAGGGCATCGAGAAGTACGACAAATTCGTGAAGGAGTTGCACATAAAGTTCATCAAGTACATTGAGAATCTGTGGCACAAGTCGTGGACCCTCGCGGAGAACCACTGGAAGAATGTGCTGAAGCGCTTCGAGCCGCACATGTTCAAGATGATCAGCTTCATCGAAACGACAGCGTGGGATCTCAGCAAGGAGGTTTTTGACTTCATCTACAAGCGAACGAATGAGCTGGCAGAGTCGCCGTACTTCAACAAGGTGTCCAGCTTCACGGCGGATGCGGAACGGCTTTACAGGGACTTTAAGGCCAACGATGCCATCACCAACATCAAAAAGTACTCGACTCTGGCGTGGAATTTCGTCAAGGAAAAGTACTTCAAGCTGGTGCCCTTTGGGGCAGAACTAAACGAAGTATTGACCGAGATCTGGCAGGAGCTGAAGGAGCTGGAGAAGATCGAACAGGTGCAGATCATGGTGCAAAAATACAACGAAATTGTGGCCAAGATCGACTGGGTGGCCGATGAGCTGCAGCTCGAGCATCGCCTCCATCAAGTGTACGGCCTGTTGAGAAATAAATTCAGGAATTACGCAATGAATGCCCTGGAAACGGCGGACATGTATCGCGAGGCCAAGACCAAGTTCGTGTTCGATCCCGAGATGGGTATCATCGATTTGGAGCAGAAGCTGCCCATGTCTTGGCACGCGTTCAACGAGACGCCCAAGTTCGAGGAGATACCGGAATACCAAATGCTCTCCAAGGTGCAGAGTTTCTTCTCCGAAACGAATTCCTCAATAGTCATGAAGCTCTACAACATGAGGGCACATCTGGATCCCAAGACATGGCTTCCACCGTATTATTGTGAGTTTCTAGAATGGTTTGTTCCTTGGAAGATTCCTTATGTTCTTTCCCTATTGTCTAGCTCGCGCTTTACTCATCGATTCGCGGCACTACATGACCTTCGATCAGCGATATGTGGGCCTCAATCTGGACTTTGATGCACTCGCTAATCGCCAGTGCAGCTACCTGCTGGCCCACGACTTCTTCAAGAGGAATTTCACTCTACTGCTGGAGCCATCATCACAGAGTCAGGGCCTCACGCGAAAGCTGAGCTTCATAGCCAATGGACAGCTGATAGAAATCGATCTGGCCACAGATGTGAGTGACAGTTGGATCATTTTAGACCATGATATTCAACTCTTTTCCTTCTCTAATCCTAGCACATAAGTGTCAATGGCAATCCACAACCGATTCTGCCGCTCAAATTGGGTGCTGTAAACATCCACAGGGAACTGGATGTCCTCTCCATCACCTCGGACACACAGTTCAGCCTGCACTGCAACGTGCAGTTTGATCTCTGCTGGTTCGAGGTCAGCGGCTGGTACTTTGCCAAGACCGCTGGACTTCTGGGCACCCTGAACAACGAGCCCTACGACGAGTACACCATGTCCAACAGTGTGATTGTCAATGAGACGCAGAGTCAGGCATTCACCGACTCGTGGAGCCTGCAGCAGTGTCGCCAGACGCAGCCGTCCGCCAGGCCGGCCATCACCAAGGAAGTGAGCGAGACATGCAGCAGCTTTTTCCGCACTGGCATACTGTCCACCTGCAGCGCTGTTCTGGATCCCACTCCCTTCTACGAGATGTGCCTGGATCTGGGCATGAAATCTTCGCCCATCCGCACCGGCCATCCGGCTGTGAAGGGAGCTTGTGCCGCCGCACTGGCCTACATCGAAGCCTGCACGGCCCTTAAAGTGCCCATGCGTGTGCCCTCGCAGTGTGTCTTGTAAGTGATTCAATCTACCGTCCCACAGTTGCACTTTCTTGACTCTGTTTTGTGTTTTCCCTTAGCTGCCAGTTGGCGAATAGCTCGTATGTGCCAGAGGGCACTTTTATGGAGCTAACAGGCACTGATATTCCACACAGCAGCGATGTGGTCTTCATTGTTGAGGCAAAGGACTGCAATGCCAATTTGAATGTGTCCAAGAACATTATGACTGTCGTCGGCAGCATCGAGGAGCAGCTACAGGCCGCCGGACTGACCAACAATCGGTGGGTAGACGTAACCCTTTAATCCTCTGTTCTATATCGACTCTGTTCTTTCCTGTCCTTGCAGCTATGCTGTCGTTGCCTTTGGTGGAGTTGCGCCATTTGACCGAGCACGCAGCATCATTTACGAGCACAACGAATTCACGGCGAAGCCGGAGCAGCTATCGGATTACTTTGGCCACATCAACACCGGAAACGGTAGCAGCAGCGACATCCTAATGGCCATTTCCACAGCAGCCAAATTGAACTTCCGCCCGGGCGTATCGAAGACATTCATCCTGCTCTCCTGCAGCCGCTGTGCCGCAAAAGACATGCGCTTCGACTACACCTCCATTCTGCAGTACCTGCTGGAGGAGGGCGTCAATCTGCACATTCTGGCCGACACGGAATTCGATTTTGAGCGCAGTCGTAAGCTGCGTCACTTCTTTGGCATGGACCGCGACCTCGTCTACTCGAAGCGCTTCCCCGAAGGCGACAACGAGACGCGAAAGCAGGTGCACATCCCCAAGAGCAATCTGGGCATCTGCACGCCCCTGGCCCTCGAGACAGAGGGCTCGGTGTTCAGTGCCCGCAAGCTGCAGCCGGAACGCAGATATCCCATCAAACGATTCGCCACAATCTTTGCGAAGCGCGTGGCTCTCAGTGCCAAGCCCATTCAGGGTCAGACATGCGAGTGCTCTGCCCACAACACGGGCGTCTCCTACGTGGCCTGCTCACCCCGCACCCTGCCCGAGGAGAAGGGCAATCTGGATGATTATGTGAGTGTGGGATAGCCCCGAAAATTACTCTAAAGACTGTAACTTGACTCTACTTTTCTCTTAAAGGATGACTTCAACGACTGGGAATGGGATGATGAACTGGATGCAGCGGCGCCCTAAAGGAAGGAACTTCTGCTAGTGTTTAGTAATCCACAATTTAGTTAGAGAGTTTTGACTAGTTTTGGCACTATGCCATGGCATAACTAGCGGACATATTTTGTAAAAAATAAATCACATTTGAAAGCCATTTGTTAACCAGTTTTCTATGCGCCATGCGGCCCACTCTTTGGACTCTGATTAAAAGTTGTCTGACGGGAAAATGCTTTGGTCTGGTCTGGCCTGCTTGGACTATCACTTTTCCAGCTGCTACTGGGTGCTGCTACTGCCACTGCCACGGTTGACGGAAGCAATTGGAGCAGGAGTACGTGCAACAACCTTAACCCTAAAGACTGGACTCCATTCACTTGATATCCACTTGAACGAACGAACGACTCCACTTGATACCCGCTTGAACTCAATCTGCCTACCTGGCTGCCTGTTGGTATAATAAACATTTTCCACCTGGAAAATTTGCACAATGGAAATTATGCGAGCGAAATGGTAATGGTAATGCAATACTTTCTATTTCGATGTTACATCAGGGCCTTTTGGCCTTCCGATACCATTGCGAATCTTTCACTTTTGGGCGGCGTTTCGGTTGTGGATTTTGGAGGCTATAAAAGCCAGCGGTCAGATGGCAACCATTCGCATTGCTCAACAGAGTTTCAGCCACACAGCACACACAACAGGATATACAGGACACAATGTGGAGACTCGTGAGTGCAGTATAAAAGCCTTATCCGGATAATTTCCATGTCTTTTCCATCCTTAGATATTGATTTGCGGTCTACAGATGATTTGTGCCTTGGAGCACAGTGACGAAGGATGGTCAGGCGGGGATGGAGGCAACTACGGTGGCAGCGGTGCTACTGCCACTGGCAGTGGCAGTGGGAGTAGCGGCGGAGGGGGAGAGGGATACTACAATCATCATACACCCACCACATATTCAGAGATCTCCAAGCACGTGCCGGTGCATGTGATCGAGAAGATTCCGCTGCCCATACCTCATCCGGTGGCGGTTCAAGTGCCGAATGTGATCCGGCTACAGATACCCGAACCCTATGCCGTTCATGTGCCCGTTCAGCAGGAGATCCAAGTGCCAGTGTACAAGATAGTCCCAGAAATAACCGAACGGAAGATACCCTACACAGTGGAGAGACCCTATCCCGTTGAGGTGGAGAAGCCCTATCCCGTGGAAGTGATCAAGCAGATTAGGATTCCGGTGCCGAAACCCTATCCCGTACCGATAACCATCTACAAGCATGTCCTGCAGAAGGAGCATGGCTGGTAATGAAATAGGAGTTGAGTACAAGGGTTAAATCTCATGTTTAACGAGTACTACAAAACGATGTTACTACATATTTAAATACAGAGTTTAAGCAAACAAAAAAACATTTTTTTGTTTTCAATGAAACTTTATACAGCAATCCTTTAGATCATTATCTAACGATACTTCAACTTTCATGGTAATCGGTTGACATTTACGCACGCTACCATTAAAATTACCCAAGGGTTGTGTTCCCAGCTGGGTTCCTTAGCGCTTCAAAGTTCCGTTATGTGTCGTGTAGAATGTACAGTTACATGTGTACTGGGAAAGAGCTTTCCTGGAAGCTATCCTTGCCAAAAACCACAGCTTTTCTCTTCCTTTCTCGCTTCTGCAATACATAATGGCCGTATACAAAGTGCGTATACACAAGTACAGTAACACACACACACACACACACACACGAATAGATGACACACACATGTATAGGGAAAACCCTCCCAAGTTCGTTAAACTTTTGTGGGAATAGTGGGATTGACGCGTGGGGCAGGCTTTTCCTCAAACCGATGACGTGCGCACACTCAGCCCAACCTCCCCCCTGCCATGCCCTACTGCTACCTGGACTCCTTTTGCGTTTGCTATATTTGATATCCTTTCTGTCCTTGACGCTCCGGACAGAACAGAACGAAACGGAACGCTGCATGGGGTGCAAAAAATGTCCGCGATTGTCAAAGCAATCAATGATTTCCATTTGTTGCGCACATACGAATGGGAGTCCCTCACCCTCTTCAGCTCCATCTACTCTGTCCATCGCTCAGTCAGTCATTCAGTCATCCAATCAGTTAGTCAATCAACCGCAGCAGCTGCTATAAATTATTTATGCACAACTTGTAGCCAACAGAATGTACGCAGAGTGTATCCAAAAAGGATATGTGCGATGGCGACTGACTCCGGGACTAATACGACACATGCGACGGAGTACGAGTGTGACGATGTGTTTGCCTACGTGTTGGGAAACTTTAATTTTCCATCTGTGTGTGGATAATATGTAGTTATCCTCACCGTCTACAATCTACAATCCCTTCCATTTGTTCCCTACAAACTTACCCGCTGGGACGTCGCAGAAGCCTCTTTTGAATGCATGCAAAATGAACGAGCAGCAAAGACTTCCTTCGAATACGAATATATTATTCTGGGTATAAAGTCAGGCCACAAGTTTTTCCTAATTAGATTTTCAGTGACCCACCCCAGCCCATGGAGGGTACTTGTTGGCATAGAAGTTTCCCCACGACTTTGCCTGCCATTAAATTAATTAGGAAAATATGAAAACTGATTTCCCACATTGTGAATATTGGATATTCGATGGGAATCGATTCAGTTTTAAACGTCGCCTAATGGCCACAAAGTGCAATTGATGTCTTATCCTCTCCGTTGTCCTTCTGCTGCTGCTGTCAATCCGAGGACCTGCAGTCCAATCATTTGGAAATTTTCGTAATTGCACTGGCAGTGGGAAGAGCATCGGAGCTATCAGTCGATAATTGTCATGCGTGTAAGTGGGAGGTGGGTGTCCTGCGGTTTTAAAGGTCATTAAGCCAGGACACAGCACAACAGAAAGCGATTGACATTCGTTGGGCGGGACAGGGGGCAGGGACTGGGGCGACTGGGGGTAATTAATATGGTAATAGCCTTGAGCAAGGCGTTGGTGGGGCGCTCTTCTGATAGATTTCCATTCAACAATTATCCTTTGAGAGAGCGCCGCTCTCAATAATTACGGTTTATTATCCATCGATGGAAATCCCATTTAGTTAAGGGATTTCTCTATATATCTAACTCTATTGTTAACCCCATTCGTATCCCCCCAAAGAGGATTTACATCCAATAGACGAGTCCCAATTGAATTCATCTGTGGCCTAAGCCGTGCCATCGATTGGAGGCACACATGCCTCGTTCTCATTCGAGTAAAATGCAAATTAAATTGTCGGAACATTTGGTATTACTCGTACAGCAGCAGCAGCATCAGCAGCAGGAAGAGTCGCAGCCAAAGCTCTGGCTCTGCCCTGAAAGTCTGATGCAAACAAATTTACAATCCTAAGCTCATGCGAGGATACACAGAGGATATACAGAGGATACATACAGGATATGTGTGTGCCCAGAATTTTGGATTCTCACGAAAGGGGGAAAAACTTTTGCCCTAGCAGAGAGAGAGAGAGAATTGCGATTCGTGGAATTAATTTGAGTTAATTGATTTTTCTGCCAGGAGCCGACGGGACGCCGCCTTTTGCCTTAGTCTGTGCACGTGCAAGACGTTCGTTCTCCCTTGGCCAGCAAATCGAAGAGGAAAAGAGGAAGTGGAGGAAGGCCTGGGTGAGAGCGGAAATTGACAACTGCCTCGAGTGTTGAGTGCTGTAAGGGAAATACATTTCCATTCACACTCTTCCTTCATGCGCCCCATAGAGATGTCAATGATGTGCCGGGAAGCTTGACAGCTACGGTCTGTGGTGGGGTCCTTGATGAACTTCCATGGTAGGGAACTTCCTTCTCTCTCCTCGCACTTCATGTGCGGATAAAAATAGACCAACTCTGACAGAGTGGATGCCCCGTGTTGTGACTGTGTCCCTGTCCATGGATTCGATGACTAAAACTAGCAGCAGCAGAGGAGCAGCTGAAGAGCAGCTGAGGCGCAGCTTAGGCTAAAGTATTATTAACGCCGGATTAATCAATTGCCCAGCGACTCGAGAGTTTTTCCACCAGCATCCCCACATTCACATTGTTTATTTTTTATTTATATTTTTAAGCATTTCAAAGGCTACACTCAGCGAAACATAGCCACGCAGAGCTCCTCCTGTGTGCTCCTTCTGTCTCCTGATGTCTAATGAAGTGTAAAGTGGTGTGAATGCATGGTAGAACCATCCTTTGATGGCGCCCAGTCCAATCTCCCTGCCCCCCAGTGGAATACATGTGAAAAATCCCTCTGGCAAAATTATTGATTGGCGTCTCTGTCTGTCCGTATGTGTAGGTGTATCTATGTGTAGGTGTGGATACAAGTACTTGTCCCTCGTGTGCTGCCGCTGGGCACAATTTACCTCTTATCCCACCCTAATGTTATAATTAGTTTGCCCAACAGCCAATGCCTGATGTCCATGTCCATGTCCATGTCCGTGTACATGTCCATGTCCGTGTTGCATGTTTGGGGTTCCCTTTCTTCCAGAGAAAACCCTCTGCTTCCTGCGCTATAAATAGTCGCCATTGAAGAAGCACCAAGGGGACCCCAACCAAGAATAAACATTAAAAATTGTATACAAAAAATATGAATCAATGGGAAAAACACAAAAGCCAAAGCCAAAGCATCCTTCTGCCTGTCTCTGCCGGTTTTTGGAATAATGACAAATCCCCAGCAGAGGGTAAAAGTGAATGGAGGAGCCACACTAAAGTCATAAAAGTCGCGTGGACCAAATTAGGTAGAGCTCTGCTCTGCTCAGCTCACTGTTTGCCATCCTCCAGCTTCAGTCTCCCTACTTTTCCACATCCTCCTACGTATTTTATGTGCACAACAATTTTAAATGACTTTGAGGAGACGACCCAGGAGGACACACACAGAGAGATACACACAGTGCGGATATACAGAAGCGGCAAACGTAAGTAACAGATAAGATTAGAAGCCCAAGCCCAAGACCAAGACCAAGCTCAAGCCAGTGACAACAGCCAGCGACCCGATGGCGCTCCTCCACGCCCCCTATTGAGTGTGCGCTCTCGCTTCTACACTCGAAGAAAGAGCCCGAACACAGCCATGGTATCCATCGCATTTGTTCTGCCAGAAATGTCTCACAGTGCAGGCCGTAAGCGAGTCAAGGTTAAGCTCCAAAATCGCTCGAAACGAGCCTCAGACTCAGGCACATGCACAGGCACAGGCACAGACACAGGCCATCAAAGGCAACAAATATTTCCACTTCTTTTTCTCACATTTTCCATCTTTGGTTTTTCTTTTTTTTTGTTTTGCTGCTTTACCGTTTGCTGCTGCTGCTGCTTTTGTTTTGTTACGGATGTTGCTGCTGCGCGTGGCAGGGAAAACAGCTGGCTGGCTCGTAATGATTACGAGAGTTTTATGAGCGTTCGCTGCAAAAGGGTCTCCTACCCTACCTGGCAGCAGCCACCTCCCACCCCCGCAGCACTCTATCATTCGCACATCGTTGGGTAAAGTTCGGAAGCGTTTATTGGAACGCCTGCACTCCCTCCTCTCACCTCTCGCTTCCACAGAGATGGAATAAAGTTAAGCGATTATGGGCCAGAGCCTACTTCTACGATTTGTTCACTCCCGCCCGGTAATGGGAAACGGTAGGCAGTGCAAAGACTGTGGATATTAAGAAAAATATATGTGCCCGCTATAAAAAGTAATGCAAAAATCTAAAATGAAACGTTTAAGATTCAGTTGAAAGCCGTTGCAAAATGTAAGCACTTTTTGGAGTGAAAAATTCATTTCAGTTTTTTTTTTTTTTGCAGGTGGAAAAGAAATCTTTGGGATTCACATTTGGTTTATATTTTTGTGTGGGTTTATTCCCTATATTCTCTTCTCACTTTCACTTTGATTTATGGGCAAAAGTCGTGTTTATGGTGTGTCGCAGAAGGTTTACTTTCATATTCTGTCATTTTCTGTCCCCGTAATTCTGGCGCCACCTTGCTGTTGTCTATTATCAAAATTGTGTCTCTTATATATGTATATCCTACCACTCCCTCCTGTCTTTGTCCTTTCGTGCAGAACTTTTGCACAGCATTTGGGTTGCGTGCAAAAATAGCCCAAAAAAAGAGAAAGAAATAAAAAGGAAATCTAAATGAGAAAATGTTTGTGCGGAATGGCACATAAATCAAAGCACAACCCCACACAGATCCATATATACACATTTATATACATATATAATGTGTTTGGATATGTATATGATGCATGTACTTGATGGCTTTGCATTTGGCAAAACTATTTAAATATTATTCCAAAATGAAGGGCACTTCCTATCGCACTTCCCAAGGTCCTTTCGCTCGGTTCGTTCGGTTCGAAGTGCGTTGTTATCGTTCGGATATTTGCATGGAA